TTTATTCTATTTTATTTGTTTGTTTGTTTTAGTTTTAGTTACCTGTAATAATCATGGTCCTTAACTTGGGTTTTCCATTACAATGAACATACTAAAGTTACACATGCATCTTATAATATAATTAAAACTAATTTAATTAACATTTTATGTTTTTTCCTTTATTTAATCTATGTTGTTTTGATGTCCCCTGAAGCTCCAAGCTACGGATAGCGAACCATTTATCCCAATTATTCTGCTCATATACTTTTCATTCAGAATTCTAGAAGGTGAGTGCACGAGTAAACCTGCTAATTAAAAATACATAATATATAAGTCTTAAATCAACTTTTGGATAATAGTTTATTATTATTACATAATTATGGTGATGATGGATTACAGATTAGTATTAAATTGGCCCACAATGACATTTTTAACAGATTCTAACAGTTTTTGTCCACAGCATTATCCTAGATATGCACGTTTCTGTTTAGACTATCTCTTGTACTTTTTTCATTTATTTTAAGAGATCATTTATATTTGGACAGAACTTTTAAAATATAATTTTCTCTCGCGCGTTCTCGCCTGGGAACTAGTTGGCAGGTTTCTTTTGTTTCCAAACGGTCCGCTTATCACGGTGCACACTTGGTCAAGAAGAGGGGATTTCAGCGATGGGTAAAAATTGTACGTTTTGATTAAATATGCAAAAGCTGCTATGCATATCTACGAATTGTATTCGGAAATAGGCAGTATCTACTTTATTTAAAACGTTTATGATCATTTTCCAGTCAAATTTACTGTGCGAACGTTTGGCAGGACACTGACATAACAATTCATACTTTGGTTGTTTTGTAACATGAAAAATTGAAAAACAAATAAATAAACTATGTGTATGTCCGGCAAAGAAACTCAGGAAGCTCTGTCGGCTGGTTTTAGAGGGGTTTTGGTTTCTGTAAGCCGGTCAGACTGGGAGACCAGCTGGACAGGACTAGTTAGACCAGATAATTAAAACTAATTTAATTAACATTTTATGTTTTTTCCTTTATTTAATCTATGTTGTTTTGATGTCCCCTGAAGCTCCAAGCTACGGATAGCATGGATAACTTAGAACAGCTGATTCATTTGAACGGCGGAGAGGGTCAGATATACACTATGGAGGGACCCCTTTGTCTTAAAAGTGTCCAGTCTATGTTTAGGTGAGTGATCATGTTACTTTGTGCATAAATACTACTAAATACTGTATGTTCTTGTATTTGATTTAATTAAGTGCACATTTTTGGGTTAACATCATTTTTGTGTTGGCAGTAAGCTGATTGACCAGGCATACTCTCCCTTCCATGCGGTGCTGCGCTGTGGAAACCTGACCTCTGATGTGCAGGTCTTTCCCAGGCCAGAGCCAGTGACGATAGATGAGGAAGTGGATCCCATACCCAAAACAGTGCAAACAGGTATGAGCAGAGAAGCTAGTGAAATGATCGTGTCCTTAATGTCACCCTCTTGTTGTTCTAATGCAAGCATTCAACTATTCAAGTTTTGTGTTTTTAAAGGAAATGTTCTCATTATTAATAATATATAAATAAGGCATTTTGTGTGAGCAGGTTTATATAATAAATCTATTAAATATAAATATAAATTTATATAATAAGTATTACTTTTAAGGGCTTTAATCAGACTGTAAATGTTTTTATTTGTTGCAAATCATGCTAGATTCTACAAGAGGAAATTGGAGCAAAGTGCACTTGATAGTTATGTTACCTTGTTGTGTTGTACATATAGACTTGGAGATTGTGGGTTTTATTGAGATTGGAGATATCTCCAGCCCTCCGGTTTTATCCAGGCACTTGGTCCTGCCCATGGCTGTGAACAAAGGTCAGTATTTTGCTTCATATTTCCTAGGTCATCTTATCCGCATCCTTATTTATTTACTGGTACTTCTGTTGTAATGACAAAGCTGCTCATTTTCAAATTTGTTTATTTGCAACATTTTTTAACCAATTAATTTAAATGACTTTTCTAGTTGTTCATGATTATTTTAATTATTGTAGTAAAATATATATATTTTAAATATAGTAATCACACACACACACACACACACACACACACACACACATATATACTTATATATAATATAGTGTAACTTTATTAACCTTGCCAGATCGGCTAGGGCTCACAGGCATGTTGTTTTGCTTGACAGAGGTGGATGAGATCGGTACGGGGGCCACTGATGACACAGAGGAAGAGACCTCCACAAATCAGATGGCTGGAAAGAGCCCAAACTTCTGTGTTCTTCTACATGGCAGCCTAAAGGTGGAGGGCATGGTGGCACTTGTACAACTAGGGTAAGGATCAGTATAAAAATATGCATCTGCCTTTTCATAAGCATTCAAAATGTTGGCAATATATAAAAAAATGTGCTTTTAATAGATTGCACTGTCAGTTGAGATGGATTTGTTTTCATCACCAACATATTGGAGATGAATTACCTAGTTACTCTGAAATAAAAGTTTTCACTATCCATGTTTCCTCTGACAGGCCAGACTGGCTTGGGATGCTTTATTCCCAGGCAGACAGTAAGAAGAAGTCTAATCTAATGATGTCACTCTTTGAGCCCGGCTCAGAGCCTCTGCCCTGGTTGGGCAGAATGTCACAGCTTGGCCCTGCCTCAGGTAGCACGCTTTCACTATTTTTCTGGAACAGCCACACTTTAAATGCCTGTTAACATAAAATAAAGTAAAAAATAAACTGTGTTGTATTGCAGTATGTTCAAGTCGTTAATAATTAATACACTGAAACAAAAGTAACCTGGATGGTTCAGTTAGGAAACCTGTAGGTAAACACACCAGGGTCAGGGATAACAGTAGTATAACCACAAATTTGCATGATGAAATATTTATTTTCCTCATGCTTTGGTTCCTTCTGAGACTAGAGACATATACATAATAAAAACATTTGCTCATTGTTTGCATAAGGTTTTGCTTACTGGCCAAAGGTATAAATATCAGTTCACTATGATTCTTTGTTTGCTTGACATACAGATGCAGCTGAAAATCCCTATGGTGAAGATGACAGTAAAAGTCCTTTTCCCATACAGCCGAAAAACAAAAGAAGCTATGCTCAGAATGTTACTGTCTGGATTAAAGCCAGTGGACTGCAGGTGTACACCTGAATACTACACTACATTTAATATATCTGACAGGCCACTGATTAAGTCATTTTAACTGAATGTTTTTCAGACAGATGTACAGAAAATTCTCCGTAATGCAAGGAAACTGCCAGAAAAAACACAAACCTTCTATAAGGTGGGTAATTATGCATATTAAATTCCAGGGGTGCGCACTTGACTCGAGACTCGACTCGGACTCGAGTCCCAAATTTGATGACTTGCGACTCGACTCGAAATAATTAAAGAAGACTTGAGACTCGACTTAGACTTTATCCAGCATCAAATGACAGTGACATTTATATTTCATTGCGTAGTATAGTAATTGCTCTGCAGTAAAGCCATTCAAAGCAGTTAAATTTTTGCTGATGATATTCCTTTGTTTTATGACTGCGGTAATTATGTGTGAAACGTCACGTCATTATTGTGTATCAAACAGTGCCACCTTGAGGCAATAGGCCTAATGATCATTTAAAATATAATTTGAAGAAGTGTTTCTTTCACAAAATGGGTATTGTATATATAACTATAAAATATAGGCTACTCAATTTTTCTCCCTCTTGCGGGCACTCATGTCACTTCCATTTCTTTAAGGATAAATGAATGAATTCACATGTTGTAAATCAGTCTGTAGGCCAAATTTCTTCTAGTTCTTTCAAAGCAGTTCTTTCTGCGTTTCCGCTCACATATTTTTAAATCTTTTTCATTGCGGTTCCAAATAATGGCTCATTGGCTTAGATATAACACCTAGAAGCATATAGCTATTCTTATGCACACATGCAAAGTATGTTGCAGCTGTTATTTCTATGAAATTATGTTGTCTTTGCTATTCTGTTACTAATAAAATAGTTTACTGCTTATCCTATTTTGGCACAATCCCTAAATTGAACTTGAGTAGTTTTACTAAGGGCATCCATCTCACATGAAATTGAACTGTGTCAAATATTCTACCTGCCTTCCTGATATAAATTACTATGAATTTGATATGGTAATTAATACTGAGACACTCATTTGGGCAAAAAGCACTAATGACTTTTTTAAGACTTGAATCTTAAAGCTGAGGACTTGAAACTCGACTTGGACTTGCCTGTCTTGACTCGGGACTTGACTTGGGACTTGTCTGTCTTGACTCGGGACTTGACTCCAAACTTGAATGCAAAGACTCAAGACTTACTTGTGACTTGCAAAACAATGACTTGGTCCCACCTCTGTTAAATTCTTCAATTTCTCTCTCAATATATATATATATTTAAAAATTAATGTTTTGTATGTAGATAGGATATCGTATGCTGAAATATGACCCTGTTGATTAGTTAAAATATTTTTTTTGTGTGACATTTATATTTTCTTTACTGTAGGAACTAAACCGTCTGCGAAAGGCCGCTCTCGCCTTTGGTTTCTGGGAGCTTCTTAAGAGTGTGGCTGAACTTTTGGAGAGGGAGTGTACACTGCTGCCTGACTCTGCCCATCCTGATGCCGCCTTCCAGCTCTCACATGCTGCCCAGCAGCTTAAACTGGCTAGTAGTGGAGACTCCAAGTATGCGGCCTATGAACACAACATTACCCCCATGCTCACTGATTTCTCGGGGGGAGGAGGAGCCGACAGAATATAGAGGATGGAGGTACAACGCTCAATGGACAACTACCAGATCACTTATAGAGGAATGAACCTTTATTTAAAAACTCAATGTGAAATATTTGTCCGAGGGAAATGAGTTACTGCAGCAGAATCACACAAATGTGGCATTTTCCCATGTTCTAGTAGTGCCACAAATGTTTGGTGATAGAGATAAAATGAGAGAAAACCTTTGCGACATACATTATGTTACTGAACACTCAATTTGAGGAAAGAAAAACATTCAGCTTTTTTCCAAGAAAATGCATTTGGAGACTTTGGAATCTGTTTTCAGACCAACAACTGTTTATGTAAATAACTTTTTCTAACAATGACCAATAAAAATTAAACTGCCTGTAGTTTATGCCTAATGGTAGTCATCTGAAAATGTTTTGTTTCATTGAAATTTAATTAAATATTTAACAGTTGCATTTACACATTCATGTCCAGATTCCACATCCAACAACACTGAATTGGCTCTTCTCATGTGACTTGAATGCTTCATGACGTTTTCCTTGAGGTTCATGGTCTATGTTGTTGTTGTCAGTGCTCTGTCAACTACTACAACACATCTCAGGGAATGACAGGAAAATAAAATGTTGCTTCTTTAAGTCTGACACACAGCTAATCTACTACAAGCACGCAAACATACTGCATATAGATGGAATGATGCAATGTATAAATACCTTCATGGTCCTGGGTTAGAATTATTTGATAAGATACTTCTTTCTAGTGTTTTAAATTAGTCATCTTTATCCTCTACAACTTCCTTCAGTATTTCAGTATGTAGAAAGTAAATGAATTTGACTTGGGTGTTTAAAAGAGAAATAGTTTTCCCTCAATAATGACTTCTCTGTGACAGAGGGCAAATGTAAAGAAAGAAAATGGAGGTGGCAAATTAAATCGAACAAAAACAGAGACACACATGGAGAATGAAGCATGTGGCTTCACCTTCCCCTCAGTTGGCTTTCCTCTTTTTTGTGCGAAACCGTCTACTCCTCTGCTTGAAGAGGTGGCGGAAGTTGATGAAGAGGCCTGAAATTGTCAGAAATGTATTTACATGGCATAGCAGTTACACTGTTTTACAGGGTTCCCACAGACATTGAGAACCAGGAAATATTAGGGAATTAAAAAAATTAATTAAATATTAAAACTTCATGGAACTGTAATGGCAATTTATGCTTAGTTCTAAAATATTTAATTGGCTCTACGATGTTCTTTAAAATCTATAAATACATTGAACAAACATTGTGGAAACCCTGGTTTTACTTGTTTGCATGTATTTTATAGACCGTACCCAGGAACATGATCACCAGGTAGAGCTGCAGGATGTAGGAGAAGCTGAGAGACATGCCAATGGCTTTAGGCAGAGGGATACTGAGGAGTTTGGTTTCATCGAAGATGGGGATGGACTGGATCAGCGCCACAGCTGATCATAATATAAGAGAGCATAAGAAAAGCTGTCAGTTATACATGTATATTATACATTAATGTCTCACCTTCTCATGAACAGCCCATCATGATTTTTCCTGTGGTGGGGGGGCTAGTCTACAGATTATGACTTGAGAACACATACCTTCAGCTAGCACTCCAAGAGGGTACAGGGGTATCCATATGGTGTATCTCAACCAAGTCAACAACTTCCATTCCGTATCAATGCAGGCCAACATGTAGAAAGGATACCTATGGTTCATTTTTACAATTGTACGATTAGATTTGTTTTTATTCAACAAAAAGGTCCCTTTTAGGACTAGGCTGTAGGGCTCAGATGATTACAATAACAACACTGCTTTTTAAATCAAAACAGAAAAATAAACACTACCATTTAAAAGTTTGGGGTCAGTAAGATTTTTTTGTGTTGTTCTTTTAAGTCTCTTATGCTCACCAAGAATGCATTGATGTGATAAAAAAAAGTATATATATTTAATATAATTTATTCCTGTAACGCAAAGCTGAATTTTCAGTAGTCATTACTCCAGACTTCAGTGTCACATGATTCTTGATTTGGTTGGAAACATTTATGATTATTATCAATGTTGAATGCAGTTGTGCTGCTTAATATTTTTGTGGAAACCATGATACATTTTTTCAGGATTCTTTAATGAATACAAAGTAAAAAAAAAAAAACTGCATTTATTTCAAATAGAAATCTTTTGTAATTGTATAAATGCCTTTACTGCCACTTTTGATCAATTTAATGCATCTATGCTAAATAAAATAGATTTAAAAAAATCTTAGTGGCCCCCAACTTTTGAAGTTAGTATTGGTAAGTGTATATTTATTTTCATAAAAATATTTATTTCATAAAAATAAAAAAATATAAACAAATTACAAAAATACAACATTCAAAACTATTGCAGATATGTATTCTCATTTATATATTGTCATATGAACTAGTTACATTGCTTTCAGCCCTAGTTTTGAGGTAATGACTGCTATTTTACTATTTGCACACGGATATGTGTCCCCTAGTGATAAGTTGTGTGAGCCCACAGGAAGAGAATGATAGCGGAAGAAGTGTGGATAAACTGCCTGCACAAAAACCACATCACTGATGAAAGAGCAAAGAACATTAAAAATACCTCAAATCATATTCATGCATACCAAGCTCAAAAAGATATACGGGTAAACATCTTTCCAATGTTTGTATTCTGTTGCTGTAATTCCAATTTAGGTTCTAATTTTCAGTATATTTAGGAAAGAGAAAATGCATTTAATTTAACAAACTAACGACTGCATATAGGAAGTTGAATTTTTAGCATCTAGCTCAGAACAAACAGAAGAGGATATCCTGCAGATAAAGAAATGCATACTACCCCATGAAACAAACTCCTACATTTCCTCACCATTCGCAGAAACTGTGCTCTTAATAAATATGCAATATGATCACACATGTACCATACTATTAAAAATAATTCACATAATTACCTGAATATCTCAATTATACTCCACAGATAGAAGACAAAGAAGACCACTGGCTTGTTCTGCATATCCTCTAAAGTACCAAATATGACAAAAAGGATGAAGTTTCTCCCCATCACCTTTAACAAGAGAAATGTATTATTCAAAATAGTATACAATGAAGTGCATTTAATTGGTTACTAAAGCATGGGGCGCACCAGACATACCTGAATGAAAGCAGGCATGACTCCTGTCTTAACCAACCCAACAGCAGGATTAATAACCTCCATTATTGCCAGCATCTGACAGAAGTACATCACGTCTGCAATGGTATGAAATGTGTCGTAGAAAGAATCTGTTGGGTTGAGAAAAAAAACAGTAAGGACCATGACTCTAAAACTGATTTCACACTTTGGAGAAACGATCTAATGAAAGGGGCTTTTCACAATTGAAATAGTTAACACTGGGTCTTTCTAAACCCTGGGTAAACAGAATTCTGGATCTTGCTTCATGTTTCACACTGTTCATAATTCATCCTGGGTTAACAATTAATCTTGGGTATTTGTATGCTGACATTTCACACTGTACATTCCTAGTCCCTGGGTTAATATTCTTATTTGCATATTTGTGGTGTCAGTGTCATTGATTGGACGAATGCAGCACACAACTTGTTTACATAAAGGGTCTAGTATTGTGCATCCTTTGGACATTTTTTCCCCTAAAATGCTGAAACGCCTGTTTAACTCGCAGTTTTCTGTAATTGTCCAAAGCACACGAATATAAAGCAAGCAATTGGGGTGTCTGTTGTTATGCATCTTGTCATAACGTTCTAAGACCGTTCTAACGTTTCACACTCTACAAGTCTGGCAATGCAATGCGGTGTTAACACAGCAAAAGCTGTGCAAACTATGTTTCTGAGCAGGGTTTCTTAACCCCTGGGTAAAAAGTGGTGCAAACCTCGCTTTTAAAATTCCCAGTCAGAAATTTTTTTTTGTTTTAACCCAGGTTTATCCGCCATTTCAGAGTCTGCTTACGCCGCGCCTGAGTCCCCGGCCAAGATGGCCGCCGCGCCTGAGTCCCCGGCCAAGATGGCCGCCGCGCCTTCTTCACTACGCTCGCCTTCAATGGATGATTCATTACAAAAATGTTTTCTCTCTCTCGCTCTCTCTCTCTCATATATATATATATATATATATATATATATATATATATATATATGAAAATTTGCATAACAGACCCGCAGGCCTTTAAAAAAAAATTAAAATGATATGCATTTCCTCACAATGACAACAGCTAAAAAAAGCAGAAGTGTATCTTTAAGCTGCTTACAAAATAAAGCTGAAAAACTAGACTAACCTTGCCCAAGTATGAACAGACGTACAGTCATGTTGACAAATATCCAGGAATAACCGAGGAACTGGACCAAATTGTACATAAAGAGAAAACCTTTTTTCAAGCCAAGAAAAGCTGCAAACACAGTAACATAAAAAAAAATGAATACATGGTTATTATTTGGTAAGCTGACCCAATGTGTTTACTTTATACTTGAAAAAATTTAATATATACTCACGGTCCTTACGAACCCTTGACTCAATGCTGACTTTGTTTATTTTCTCTTCCTGTGTGCAGAAAACAGTTTAACACATCAGACAGTGACCTACTTTGAAGCTCCTCAAGTATAACAAATAATTCACGTTTTTGGTTATTAGTAAACCTCTTTACCTTCTCTCTGAGCTCCATTTCTGCATCTGACTCATCCAGCCAGCGGTCAAAATCAGGTGCTAAAAACAGAGGCTTCTTCTCTTGCTTAGTGAGCCGATCCCACCAGACGTGCTCCGGCTTCTTTACCGTGATATTCACCTGCCGCTGAGTGGATTTGTGTTTTACCTGTGTACACAAACATTTTCATGTTCCTCCAACATAATCAAACAGGTTTTTGACAAGGCAAATGTTCACTGCACTTCATTGTGCAACCAAACATAGATGTTTGTTTTTTGCAATTTTTCACAAAACAGTTAATGAAGATGGCTGTTACCTCAGGTTTAACAAGTTTTAGGAATTCCAGGCTGAATTCATATTCATTTTCTCCTTTCGCTCCATGCCCTTGACCTTGAAAAGAGCAAAATTAACAGAAGTCACACAGCTGAAGAGAAAGATTGTCCTGCTGGTGGTTGGTTGTGACGTACCTTTGAAGTGAAGGATGTTCTCTTCTACACCAATACTGAGATTCTGTGTGATAGAGACAAAACGAGAAAAAAATAAATGTGAAGTTTCAAGCTCCTCCTCCTACTCACTGCCTGTTATATCAGTACAATGCCTTTAAATGCACCATGCATCAAACAGATATTATAATATGCTGTTATAAAATAATGAAGCATCAGTAATGAATGGATTGCATAATAAAACAACACATTCACTGAGTCAGGCTTTCTGACCATTGATATTTCATGTTTTTAAAAATCATTTTAAAGGGTTTACAACATTTTGAAATTAACAGATTTGAACAATTACACTTATTAGTGTACAAATGAGTCATGACCAGCAGGCTGATATTATAATGCAGATTTTTACATTTTACATGACTTATCCAGGCCTAGTAATCAAGTTTTTTTTGCTCTGTGGAAACCCTGCTGTTTTCATGAGGTTTCAGTAAAATTCTATTACGTACTGAAGAGTTTACACATTTTACACATTTGCACAAGTAGAAACTGTGAGTAAATATATATATATATATATATATATATATATATATATATATATATATTCTTATCCAGTAAATACCAAACAACTGGAAAATTAATTGTGCCTATGAATACTGTTGTGGACAATGGGCGTCTTGGACTAAAAAAGGTTGAGGACCACTGGTTTTTGGGGCTTGTGTTGACAGGTTTGGCAATTAAAAAGTGTTGTCAAAACTGATGTCATTGTGTTTTGACCTATGTATGCCAAAAGTTTTATTTTTCTTTTGCTGTTCTGACTTATTGGAGCCATACTATGGAAAACAATGTAACAGCTTTCTAAACTGTTTTAACATTTATTTGCATAAAGGGACGTCATAGTAACCCTATTAATATAACGCAGCAATACCACCTTTGTTTCAGAGCTCTCAGTGGCGGAAGAAGGATATTCTATCTATTCACCTTATTTAGAGGACTGGTCAAACACGCTTTAACCTGCCCTGAGAAAGCAATGAGGGAAAAAGGTGCAGATACTCCTCCAATGTCAGAAACTGGATTGTAAATAAAACATGCCCTGCCATTGTAACTGGGCCAGATGGTTAATGGGTCCAGCAGGATCAAGTCCTGATCTCCCTCTCAGTAGTCTTCATTTTTATTCTCTGTGATCTAACGTTAGGCTTGATGCAAGCTCTGTCAACAGACCTACAGAGGCTGAATATTAACCTTACACCATTCAGTTTTATAGTTCAATAACCTACAGTCTGGATTTGCACATATATTAAATGCAATAAATGCGAAAAGAAACCAGAATAAGAAAATGACTATTATGAAATAATTGCCCCAAAGCAAGTTTTTCTTACCTGTGCATCACTGATCTCCACTCGCAGATATATCTCCCCATGCCGCTGCGCCCAGTACACGTGAGGTGTGAGAGCCTGCATTGCAAATATTCACATTCAATAATGCTAAGATTTGAAAATGAATGACAGGCGACGTAAATCTTGTAACAGGCAGCCGGAAGACGTTTCCAAGGATTCTGTCATTTGTCCAGAGTATTTCTTCGAATGCGCATGCGTGCACTTGTAGTGAACGCAACACTCACCGCCCACTTTTTCACGTTCCGGAAGTAACGTTATCCCATTCATTTTCTATAGAACTCAACAGTCAAATGTTTTAAGCCTAGAATTAAACCACTCGGGCCTGAAACAAATCGCAACATTCAAACATTGATTTCAAGAAACGGAAATCGGACTAAAAGACAAAGGACGTAACGTCATTATGAGCCAATGAACTACGCTGCCCATGAAGCACTGCGGATGACATAATCGAATGAAAGAACGACAATAATATATAAATTATGCAAAATTAATAAATAAAAATACAATGTGCAATATAAACCTATCAATTTATCGATTTTTATTATAAGGATGAAATATAATACATTTAGCCTATAATTGAGCTGCCCTCAGGATTATGGGTAGTATAATTCGTCACTGGGAATTACTTTTTTAAACGAAGTTCAAATTATATTTCATTTTGATAAATAAAGGCGTACATCATCTTATATGTAGGAACATTATACGTTTGCCTGCTTCATATGTCATTTTACTCGGTACTTCCAGCCAGCGACGGCGCTGTGACGATGTTTGCAACAACTCAATGTTTACGGAAGTAGAGAAAGCTGAAGAATGAGCGACGACTGACATGCACGGACTCTAGACTCACTGCTCATTACATGTGCCTGTATTGTAAACGAGGATTAAGGAATTTTCTATAATGCAGCAGCATTCTGAATCTGATCAAGTACAACTAGACTTGCAAACAAATAGTACAAGATTTCATGTTCTGGTCGGTTTGACTGGCAGTGTAGCTGCACTCAAGGCGCCTTTGTTGGCAACACAACTGCTTGAGATTCCAGGGGTAAGTGCATAATATGCATGAATATATATTCAAACAGTTTATGCATGATTTCACAGAGCCACTGCTGTCGTTGATTTAATCATGTTCGCCAATGTCATTTCACATATTGATCCGCTAGAGAGTGCTGTTTGTTACAACATTGAACGTTATTCTACTATCTTAGTTTATAACATACAAAGTAAAGTTTTTAAAGATGGAAATTAAGTTTTCGTTTATCACAATTAAGTTAAAATAGAGGTGAATTTTAGAACATTTGAATAATTTTAAATAATTTATTTTGGTTTAAGTGGCTGTTGCATTTTGCCTTGCAGAATTGATAAAATAGAGGATATAAAAAAACAAATAGTTTTTTCTTTTGTGAATATTTATTTATTTATTAGATTTACAAATAAATAAGTAATTAAATGAATAGATAAATTGATCAAATTGATTTATTCATTAAGTAATTAATTCATTTGATTCAGAAATAAATAAATAAGTAAATAAATGAATAAATAAAGTTTTATAAAATAAAAAAAATATTTAATTAATTTTCATATATTTATTTTTACTTTAAGTTTTTAGTCCTGTTCATTCGTTATTGTGAATTTTTTTATTATTTTAAATGTGATTCAAATATGCGTCACGGTTAAAATATTTTTGGGGGGGGTTTTTTGGTGGGTGAACACATAATTTTTTCTGTTCTGTTCACTAGGTTGAAGTCCGTGTGGTCACCACAGACCATGCCACTCATTTTTACGATATCAATGAAGTCCCTGTCCGTGTGTACACAGATAAGGATGAGTGGGAGGTGAGTACAGCCTTTGAAGAGGAAGACATGCATTTTCACTATTCGGACAACAACATAATATTGTTTCCTGCTGTGACGTTACATCAGAAGCCAGACTGGCCTGATAAGAGCATTTTTCATAGTAGATATGAAGGGCTTTCTTTATATTTCTATGCTAGATGTGGACAAAGCGCTCTGACCCTGTGCTTCATATTGAACTTAGACGTTGGGCAAATCTTTTAGTGATTGCTCCACTGGATGCCAACACACTTGGTAAAATTGCCAGTGGAATATGTGACAACCTCCTGGTAGGTCATGTATTTATTACATTGTTGTGGCATTTTGTATGGATTTTTTTGATACATCATTATCTAAGTGTGTTTACCCATTTTGTTGCTGACAGACATGTGTGGTGCGGGCCTGGGACACCAGCCGTCCTCTGCTCTTCTGTCCTGCTATGAACACAGCCATGTGGCAGCACCCTATCACTGCACAGCAAGTGGCCACACTTAAAAGCTTTGGCTACGTTGAGATACCATGCATTGCCAAAAAACTAGTCTGTGGAGATGAAGGTATCTTCTAAGAAAGTGTATAGTTTTTATGAGGCAATTGCATTGATAAGGGAAAATAGAACAGATAAAACAATTCTCATCAATGTGTGAAATCACTCATGCATTATTCGTTAACTGAAGATCAAACAGATGGAACCTGGCAGGCTTCGAGTAGCAGGCTCTTTGATCAAAGGAGGATTTAATGAATTAATGTTTCTTGTGTTTTGGCTCGTCTTACATTCCAGTCTTGGTGTCTTCACAGGTAAAGGTGCCGTGGCTGAGGTTTCAACTATTGTTGATACTGTCAAACAGTACGTCCAGAAACATCCTGAATGACCTCGGACTAAACATACCAGTGGTCAAGAGACACAAGGTTATCTATGGAAGCCAAATTCCTAATAAAAAAATAAATAAAATTTTTTTTTTTACTATTTTAAAAATAATAAAGGGAATTGTGAATTTTTTCTCACAATTATGAGTTTTTATCTCACACTTCTGACTTTTTTTTTGTTTTCTTCAAAATTATAAGATATAAACTCAGAATTGTGTGATAAAAAGCTGCAATTACAATTCTTAGAAGAAAAGGCAAAATTGTGAAATGTAAATTCACAATTGCAGGAAAAAGGTCAGAATTGTGAGAAAAAAAGTCAAAATTCTAAGTTTACGTCTCACTATTCTTTTTTTTCTTAGAGTTGCTAGTTTACAAATTGCAATTCTGTGTTTATATGTGACTTTTTCCTTAGAAGTGTGAGAAACAAAGTCTGAATTGTGAGATGAAAAGTCACAATTACCTTTTTTTATTTTTTCATGGCAGAAACGGGCTTCTATAGTTATCTGCACATTCAATAAAAACTATTTCAAGTCTTTATGACGTAAAAAGTTTAATCTTTTAGTCTTTTGCAATTATATGTTTCAATGTTGAGAAACAAACAATCATTATTTTTCTGTAATTTATGTTTCTTTGTAATGGTTGTATTCATTGCATCCATTTATTTTTACATAGTAATTTCAAATAAATTATTCTTTCAATATTGAAAATGTTTCTCTTTATTAAGTGTCACATATCAGCTTAGTTGAATGTCCGTATTGTTTAATCTTTTGATTTCTTGTACTCTGGAAGTTAATCCTTATTTTGAAACTAATTATGATAAATGATCAGAAGACTGACACAGTTTGTTATTACTTAATGGCATCAGATTAATGAGCACAAAAGTCATGTAATGCTTATGACAAATAGGATATAATAGTACAATATTTTACGGGAAATCGTATTAATGGTTAGTGAGGTTTACTTGATAATTTAACTGCTTTAAATGTTAAAAGTCTTAATCCTGACATGAATGTGGCCTCATGTTCTCTCTGTGACCTTACACCTGTAAGCGAGGGCCTCAGAGATCGGGTGAGGGGCCTCTAACTGCAACGGTAGCAAGAGATATTTATGAAAATAGTCTCAGGTTGTACTAAGAGATACTAATGCGCTTTAGGTACATATCCTGTTTGCAGGTTACCGTTAGAAACGTCTTCCATCTGCTAATCATATGTGGTTAACCGCCCTTGATTCTCATTTGGCTAAGTAAGATACACCAAGAGCACGAGCATAAATATAATTACCTTTTTTTTTTTTGCCACTCTTCAGCTACTGTAATGTATCACCATGAAGCATTTTCTGGCTGAAGTTTTCTAGATTCATCTTCGAGCATAATTTGACACCTGTTAATCTGTGCTATAAATATGTTCAAGGTTTTAACAGTACTACGATTTAGAAGTTTAAATGAAGAGGAAAGTTTAATCTGAAGAGTATGTGTGGTTAAAGGATTGTGATTTTAAAGATTAAAAAAAAAAAATTCTAGGTTTAAAGGATATAGTAGCAATACTGTTTAATTCTGTCTTTAATTATTTTCGCCTTGTTTCTAAAAGTGTTGAAATGTTACATTTCCTAAAATATACTATTTTGGGAACTGACATCTGCCCAGACTTTTTAAGTTCCCCTCTGTAATAAAATTAAAGGAGAAATTCTACTTTGCACTTCCAAAAACTTGAATACTTATGTGACTCAGTTAATTTGGTATTTTCGTGTACAATTTTTTTAATAACAAAGAATCACTGTCTCCGGTATTGCTGCTATTAACATCATGCCAGTATTTTATGAAGTTTCAGAGAGAAAAAAAAATGATAGAAATGAGTGTCGGGAAGCACACCAGATTAACAGATTTGAAATAGAAATTAATTTGAGTTAGTATTTGAACATTGTAATTGTTAAATTAAACAAATCAATTTGTATACATAGGTTGCCCCTATATGGCATATACAGTATATACTTAATAGCTCTTGTTTCATTTATTTACCTTGTCTACATGATCTTTACCTTCATCCCGATCATTCTTTTTTACATCTTTTCCTCAAGGCTAAAGATTTATAAAATGTCTAGTCAACACACGTCTTAAATTGGGGTTAGAACAAAGGGTGTATCTGTGTCACTACGGTTTAAAAGGATAGGTAACATCCTGCTAATGTGTGTATAGGGATAAACAGCTTATGTGAACATTATACAATCCGTCAAACTGTTTTTAAGAGACACAATGTTCAAAAACAACTTTCTTTGGACCAGTGTCATGCTGGGTGTTAAAATAAATGTATATTATAACATACAAATATAATTATATTATAACATACAAATATATAAACAACATTTTAGAAAATGGAATAATTAAGATATGGTATTTGTCAGCCAATGCAATATTTTCATGTTTTATGTGACATTTTCCATTTTTGCTATTAGATTAATCATTTCATTTTCAAATTTGCTG